GTATGTGCTGTATATCTTTAAAAAATCCAGTTGGCAGTGGAGATGGTGTTGGCTGTGACCAGTCAATTTGGTGTGAAGGAGATGGGGGGAAAAATAGAATTTTCAATGAGGGGGCCTGAGCCCATTTGAACTAACGGCTTCCTTCAAATCACTCATCCCTCAGAGTGATTTATCAGTAGAGATCTAAGATGACATGGTGGCAGGAGAGGCTACCAAATCCTCTGCTCAGACAAAGAGGGAGCTCATAGTGAAATATGGTAGCAGTTTAGATACAAAGCCAATAATAAAAGCAGAATTGGCCTCTTAGGGGAGGGCAGCATGTTTAATTAGGCAAAGGATCTTTCAAACAACAATCATAATGTACTCAAAAAAGTCAGATCGGTATCATACACATAAGGAAAACACATATATACATGGACAAGGGTTATCATAAACAAAATGTTTCAAGTGTTCACTATCAACCTAGACAGTCTATAACTAACACAGTATAACTGCATACCAATATGCCACGTATATAATAACTATATAACATCAAAAAGGAATGGGTTGAACCGGTCTCAATACTTAACTTGATATAGTAGTTTGTATCAAGGGTAAAGATTGTACTGTGACAACAAATATAATGCAAAAAGCTCCATGTGATATATCTGTCCACAAGCTCTCTTCCTTTTAAAAAGATTTTGAGTTCCTGAATGACAGTGGTGTCTCTTTAGTAGCTCTTCAATGTCTGAAGAAAAGTGTTATTGTAGATGCTCGTGAAAAATGCTGTCAAGATCTTGTCCTTGTATGTTCTTCAGGTTGTAAGGATTTTACTAGCATTCTTCAATCAATGCTTTTGGAAGAACAAAAAAAAAAGAAAAAAAGAGCAGCATTGTGTTCACTTCCACTGCCCTATGGGCAAGACAGACCAACTGTTTTTGTGCTAGTTTTTCTTTCTGGAGAATAAAACTTCTTGAACAGAGAGCAGTTAATTCTGAAATTACACACTCACCTAATTTACCCAGATGTTACTAAGTTCAACCTTAACTTAGGTTGAGATTTGATAAATGTGCTCTATAATCCAAGGTTATACAATTGAAGTACTGAACTTCACTTATGCCTCAAGATGTATTTGTATGCTAAATATACAGCATGGACACAGCTTAATGTTGCTTTAAAAGGAAATGTATTTTACTACAGGTATTTGCTTTGTTTTTTTTCCAATTATGTGTTCACTTGAGGGATAAAAATGCTGATATTAAACGTAGAAGTGGCTGCAAAGTTGTCTACATGTAAATACACGGAAGGTTGTTTTAACAATGGTCATTTAGTAGTAAGTTTTAAAATTGCTTGTGGGTCTAAATTTCCATTCGAATATAAATAAAGATAACTTAATAGTGATACATTTGTATTGACCGAGCAGTAAATGAGTCATTGCTAGTATTTTGTCAACGGCAACCATGGTGGTGCTATATCTACCAAAAATAATCATGGTGAAAAGCAAAGTTCTGATCTATATTATATTGAGCAGGATCTCATTACATTACACTCATTTGTCAGACAATTTGTCCATAGTGACTTGCAGCAAAATTACTGTGCAATAGATCCAGGATAGACACTAAAATCCCAATTTTTTTTTTGCTATCATTTTTAACCTTAATCAGAAAACCTAAAACGCCTCCACTAGCACTGTAACAAAGGACTGGTTGATTGTATGCAAATTATCTTAATGAATAAAAGTTCACATCTACTAAACAAGTTTTTTTTTTATTCATTCATTTTGTTATTTCATGACCTTCAAAGCACATTCCAGCTCAGAACGATGTGAAAATGGAGGCATATGGGGTAGAGAGTGCTAATTAGACATTAATTTAATAAGCACCTAAAATGTATTTATTTCAGTGTTTATAAAACGTTGCTATGTCTGCATGCTATGTAACAGTATAGACAAACTGTGCACACATTTTTAATTAGGCCTAAATTTATTTTGGATGTAAGAGCATTTTGTGCTGTTAAACGTGTAATGAATACCAAAATGTACATCTTTTTACTAACAATACAACACAACTATGTTCTGCACAGTAGAGCCATGTGTCCATAGTTTGTTGTTGTTTTAGTTGTAAGGTAAAAAGTTTAGCTCTCATTTCCATGCATGTGTGCGTGTGCGAGCAGCCTAGGAAGTAATTACAATATCAATTATAAGCATGGCCCTTCCCTTTGCCCGGGTCCTATCTGGAACATCTGTAGCTTGCTGCCCCTACCTTTCTAAACAATCACGTCAATTTTAATCAAAATTGACCTTGATAACTGGTAGGCCTTGATAATGGCTGAATTATAGGAGTCTCCTAAGGGAACACCCTATGTGCTGGACTTATTTAATGTTAACCTTTAGCTTCTATTAGGACATTCTGTTCACAGTCTAGTCTATGGGCATACTGATTTCCGATGTAATAAGATTATAACACATTCATGTCTTTTTAGACTTTTTGCTTTTTGCTCTCAAGAGCAAGATGTAGCGTGGTAAGGGTAAATAAAATAAATTGGTAATGACAGAACTCGTGCACTGGAGGACTGAAAGTCTGAAGCCGCCAAGCGTGGAAGGGAGAATTATAATTTCCTCCGCAAATGATCTTAGCCTGATTGTACTTCAATGAGGTACATTAATTGTACACCTTCCAACCATTATAGATAGCCATTTGATTACATTTGAATCCCCCACATTACTGTCAGTCGACTCCTCCCACACAAGCCTCTGACAATCAACAATCAGGAATTCTATGCTTGGGCAAGAGGTTTGTTCGCATGACAGTTATTATCCAAGAAAGCACACCAACATGGTGATTAGATTTGGTGACCAAATTGAAGATGAAGGTTTTACTGTTAATTGTTCTACTTTTTTTGCCTTGTCTAGTCATTCAAGTTACTAGGCACTAAGCACTAAGTCGGAGGACAATTGTTACATAAGAAATTGTGGTGAAAACAAAGAAAGAGGGTTAAAGTGAAATTCAGTAATGCCATTATCAGAGGAAGCTATCATGCATAAGTAGTTTTTAAATTCATATTTGAGTGTACTGTTTATTAATGTGAAATGGCAGCTTTTAAAGAGATAAAAAGATTGTAAAGGATAGTGGTAAATAATTCAGCTTTGCTTTCCTGTTCAACAGGAATTGAACTATTTTGAAAGACAGTGCATGACCTCTGATCAGTATGTTTCTTTGTGCCTTAAAACAAATTTAATAAAATATATTTTTTTAGATGCCCGTCAGCAGAGATTTCAGTCTTTCATATTTAAAATGAAGAAGAAGATTTGAAATGGTGTAGAATTTCCACATGCCTACTTTATAATGATTATCCTTCCTCTAATTGAACTCAGCAGCCCTGTAGGCGTGTTAGCAATTTAAAATCCCAAAATGTAAACAGAAAGTTTCCTTCACTGTTACAGTATCCCACTGAAATGGTATGTGTTAATAAGTAAAACAAGAGAAGCATAGTGTGCACAGAGTAAACTGTTTTTTGCATCCCTACTCCTTGAATAGTACCTGAGGGTTTTGCGCAAGAAACAGTAAGTTACGGTCTGGAATCTCTTTGAATAACAAATTTTCATGAAATGACAAAGTTGATATAATTCAAATTTGCACATAGACTTTCTAAATATATACAGCGCAAGAAGACTATTCCGTCCACTTACACAATGGCTGGCATCCTCAGTGAAGTGAATAATTAGTTGAATTAGATTAAATAACCAATTACGAGACTAACAAAGTAAATAAGCCTGCAGGGATTCCACCAAATGCTTGAGAATAGAATTAGAGTGGAATTAGTTTATTGACAGGGTGGATGACAGTGTGGTCAGACAAACAACTCTATTCCTGTCACAAAGAGAGAGGGCTAGTTTCCATCAAGGGTTTTAAAAGGTAATTAATCAATTTTGCAAATATAAAGGCCCTTAAAAAGTATTAAAGTATTATCGCCATTTTACGAGGTAAAATGTGAAATCATATTTCTCCAAAGAGTTTGTATGCTAAAACTCTGGGTATTGCATAGCCAATGATACGAGATAGGCAGAGCGTAGCAAATTGCGAGAATGAGCACATGTACATATCAGGAAAAAAGTTAGCTGTCATAGTATAACTGTCTGACCTATCATATTAGCCTGTTACTGTAACTAACCAAGTTTGTTCAGTATGATTTCTGAAGTGTCTGTTAGCCATTTTCCTTTTCAATACCTAGCTAGCTGATGCCAAGGCTAGGGACAGCCAGAAGAGACGCAAGACGGCATGCTGACGTCACACGTAGCCGTATAGTAAGTGCTGCCCTAGAAAGCTGTTTGAAACCAATGTTCATAGAGATGCTTTCACTCGAAAGAAATGCCTTCTGAGGCACTGGTCTATTACGGCAGCAAGGCAATTGCTTTCTGTTTCGGACACAGCCTATATGTTAGAATCCTGCTATGATCCTGCAAAATTTATGTCATATAAAATGGACAAATATTCCGTGTGCTCACAGACCCACTGGCTGCTTTCAATTTACCAACACTACGTAATTAAACTAACAAACAGTAATGGGTAAATGCAAGTTTTCAGATATGTGGTTGGAGGACACAGACTTTAAACCATGGCTGAGGCCCATCACTGGGAATAACCGGAGGGAGTATTGTTCTTTCTGTAAAGCAGCAATACTGTAAGTGTAACCTCAATGGGGATCAACAATATCCAGTCCCACATGCACAGTGCTCGTCACAAATTGGCTATAGGATGCAGACAGCAGTTGTCTTTTGCAAATTTCTGTGCTACACCGCCTACACCACTAATGTTAGGCAACATTCACTCAGTTTATTTTCTTTAGGTGTCAGATTGCAACCATCAAAACACCCTTCCCATATTTATATTATAAAATAAATTACAACTATGCCAGGTACTGTATGGATATATTCTCCATTAGGATGTTGGCACTTCAATCTGCATAATGGACACGCAGGTACTGATATGCAATGGTTTCAAGACATCTAGACAGAGACATACCTTTGCTGGCACTTTCCACATGATCCAGTTCATCTGGAAACCTCAAAATCACTTGGTAATTTTCTTCGCACTTCTCAGCCAGGAAATGAAGAAGTGTTGTATTCTGACTGATGGATTTAGTGTCTCTGAGCTAAAAAGAAGAGAGAAACAAAACAAAATAATAATTAGCTAACCCATATTGTTAAACTCATTCACTTGTCAAATGCACTACACAAATAAATTACATGGCCTAATGGTTAAGGTACACACCGGAACTTCAAAGGGATCTTTGTGGTATGCCATACCCCTCTCCCGCCCCATGTTTCCTGTCTATCTTTATGATGACTGTCAAAATAAAACAATAACAATAATCTTATATAAATAAAATTCCAGTGACCCTACTTTTAGTGATTTAAATTAGTTTTCTTTTTTTCTTTTTTTTTTATGTAAAAATGCATGCATCCAATTGCAGGAAAAACAAGCAAACACATACAGTACCTACACACATAAAATGATACCACACCAATGAAAATAAAACAGTGAGGCACGGAAGTCTGAATGAAGTACTGCACTGTGTGTGAGTCTTCACATCAGTGCCTAGGGAACTTGTTCCATATTCATTCCCCACCGTGATTGCCATGCTGTTCGAATGGCATGCTGGGAAAACTAATTAGCACAACCCACCTCTGTGTTCTCATACTGATAATATCCGCGCTGTAAACAGCCTGCAGTTGGACATGCCCACACATGTGCACATTCAAACACAGGGGTGTTCATGCTATCGCACACGCGCACGCACGCACACACACATTTTCATTAGATGAAGATCAATCATTTGCTCACGTTGAGTAATCACAATTTAATTTCATGGATTTTAAACTTTAATTTGTTTATTGTTAACCGTCATTACACACAAAAAAGTGTGTCTCTGGTATGCTGATTTCATCTGCTAACTAATATTAGTAATATGTAATAAAGAAAGGGTAAACTGGGACATGTAAAACATGTAAATGACATGTAAATAATTTCAGGATTTGTACATGTTAAATAGTACATTTACTGAAACAATAATTCTTAAAAAAATTTAGTACAATATACAGTATATATATCTAGATTATAGCATATCTTCCAAAGCTTGACTGATAAAATACGTTAATGATTTAGAGTGCTTATCCTTTACCTTAATGTATCTAGTGTTCATACAGGAGAGGAGCATGGACATACCGTGGGGTTGTATTGAGTGCAGTAGGTATAAGTGGAGAAACCATGATGATTCGGGTAATAAGGAAGTCATTAAAATTATCTGATGAAACACGAAGCATATTGGCATTGTGAGGTATACGTCACTGACATACTAAGTCCACAGAGCGTGCATTTCCCTAATTCATAAATGGACCACTCCTTCTGCTCTAACCAAACCTGTATTTTTAATGTGTGTACAATTCTAATGAAATGGTACAGGCCATGGTTACCTCTGGCCTCGAATATTGCAATGCCCTCCTAGCGGGTCTTCCAGCTTGTGTAGCGAAACCCCTACAAATGGTTCAATGCGTCTGGTTTTTGATCAGACCAAAAGGACTCATGTCCCTTTTTTTTAACTCTAACTTCTTTCCCTAGGTATTTACCCCATTAAGATTAGATTTTGTGCTGTATTTTATGCTCTGTTAATGATTGTATGTTGTTCCACAAATGTAAGTCACTTTGGATAAAAGCGTATGCCAAATGAGTAAATGTAAATGAAATAATTTGTACAGTATAATTAGTGCTTTTCATTTAAAATTTTAAAGAAAGTCAGGGACCTTTTCAGTTTATTCTGAGAAAAAAAAAAAACTTTTGAGTCTCAGTAAGATCTTCAAGAGCATGGAAATATCGAAAAGTATAACTACCGCATGGCTATAAAGCATTCTAATGACATGTTATGGTATATTTAATATATCACAATGTATTACAGTATATTGGTTCTCTGTTGAGTAGTCTTATCCCCCAAAACATCTAGTCATAAGTTCATCGCATTGCTATATGCAAGATGGCTGACCACCTCATAATCAGCATTTTTCTACATATGTCTATTAGACTTTTTTTGTAAATGTGTCCTACATTAAATTGATGAAGATAGCATTTCTTATTTTATAATTGTTTCCGTTATGCTATGCAGTGGTGTAAAATAGTCTCTTTTTTTATTGTTTGCATCACAGTGACATGCTCTGTCAACAAATTACATTACATATAGTAAAAGCATAACTGTGTATCCTGTCCAATCTCTTGCAATGTTTACTGTAACTTTGTACTGTTGAAACTGATCTATGCCATACAGAAAAAGTGCAGCCCTGTGCATTTTCAATTACTATCATCCAAACCTTAGCCATAGTTTTCCAATACAAACAGTTTTGCAAATGTTAAGGATGATTCTAGAAATGTACCAAAGTGACTGAGAAAAAATGTCAGAATAACATATTTTCATTTTAGTATATGTAACAAGACTGAATCCGAAATGCATTTGTAATTGTGAAAAAAAAGTTGTTACTGAAACTTCAGTGCTCTTGTTTACACAGTAAATCTGGCACCTGAGACACAATGACCACTATCTATAATTGATGTACCAACCCCTTGAACCAATTCTGCTAAAATACAAGCAAACATTTCCTGCTTTACACTCAGCTTGTAGTTTTACAGTAAAACCATATTCAAAACACTACACGCATTTCTCTACACACATAAACGTAAACATAAAATGTACGTAAATGGTCTGCTAAGATCTTCTATACATATATCTGTCCAGCTACAGCAAAAATGCAGGATATTTGCAATCATTTTGTTTTGAATGTGTTTGTAACAGTTTTGGACAATGTTTTGAAAAATGTGCTGCAGATATACAGTGTTTTGCAGGTGGTGAAGTAGTAATGAGAAAAGAGTTCATGGATTTTGGAGAAAGTGATCTTTGAATGCATTTTGTGTGAAAGCAATGAAAAATGACAGTTTGGTCCACATATGTTTCTGTTTCGCTGGCTGCGTGAAGAGTTTTGACAATGTGACTTCAGTTTTGACCAATGCATGTTAGCAACTGAAAAAGTCCAGGGCCATATTTAATCCCAGTCCATCACTTGGCCAATTCAAAGTTTGTGCTAAAAGTCAAAGTGAAAAAGGCTTTTTCTGTCAGAGCTCCTAGGCTTTGGAATTCTCTCTTTGAGCTTAGGCTAGCTGGAATTTTAACTCAAAAGATTTTTTTGACACTACCTATATAAAAGACCGTTTTACACGTGTACACTAGCTGCTTAAAATGTGTCTATGTGTCTCTGTTTTTATGGTGAAACAGGAGGGAGTGTATATAAATGCTACCCCTTCAAACAAATAAGTTCATTTTAAGTGGATAGGGAAATGCTGCTTCATTACTGTGCTGCTGAAAGCAAATTGTAAACTGTGATATAATTCAATCTTTCATAACATAAACTGCCTTGAGATAAAATTATTCCAAGTCTCTCACTAGTTAGTGCAATACATTCCAATGCATTGAGCATTTAGAGCGGCACGGTATATTACAAGAAAACAAGCTTCCACTTAAATATCTAGTTTGAAAAGAAATAAAAAAAAATAAAAACAAACAATAAACTAATAACAGAAGAAGTGGCGATGGGAATGGAGAGCCCCCACACAAACAGAAGGATTTTTGGCCCTATATTCATAAATTAATTAGTTTGCAGATTGAGCTGCAGCACAAGACAAACATACTGTATACTGCTCATGTAACTACATGTAATAGTACACAGTACATATACAGTGGGTACGGAAAGTATTCAGACCCCTTTAAATTTTTCACTCTTTGTTTCATTGCAGCCATTTTCCAAAAATCAAAAAAGTTCATTTTATTTCTCAGTAATGTACACTCAGCACCCCATCTTGACAGAAAAAAACAGAAATGTAGAAATTTTTGCAAATTTATTAAAAAAGAAAAACTGAAATATCACATGGTCATAAGTATTCAGACCCTTTGCCGTGACACTCATATTTAACTCAGGTGCTGTCTATTTCTTCTGATCATCCTTGAGATGGTTCTACACCTTCATTTGAGTCCAGCTGTGTTTGATTATACTGATTGGACTTGATTAGGAAAGCCACACACCTGTCTATATAAGACCTTACAGCTCACAGTGCATGTCAGAGCAAATGAGAATCATGAGGTCAAAGGAACTGCCTGAAGAGCTCAGAGACAGAATTGTGGCAAGGCACAGATCTGGCCAAGGTTACAAAAAAATTTCTGCTGCACTTAAGGTTCCTAAGAGCACAGTGGCCTCCATAATCCTCAAATGGAAGACGTTTGGGACGACCAGAACCCTTCCTAGAGCTGGCCGTCCGGCCAAACTGAGCTATCGGGGGAGAAGAGCCTTGGTGAGAGAGGTAAAGAAGAACCCAAAGGTCACTGTGGCTGAGCTCCAGAGATGCAGTCGGGAGATGGGAGAAAGTTGTAGTAAGTCAACCATCACTGCAGCAATCCACCAGTCGGGGCTTTATGGCAGAGTGGCCCGACGGAAGCCTCTCCTCAGTGCAAGACACATGAAAGCCCGCATGGAGTTTGCTAAAAAACACCTGAAGGACTCCAAGATGGTGATAAATAAGATCCTCTGGTCTGATGAGACCAAGATAGAACTTTTTGGCCTGAATTCTAAGCGGTATGTGTGGAGAAAACCAGGCACTGCTCATCACCTGTCCAATACAGTCTCAACAGTGAAGCATGGTGGTGGCAGCATCATGCTGTGGGGGTGTTTTTCAGCTGCAGGGACAGGACGACTGGTTGCAATCGAGGGAAAGATGAATGCGGCCAAGTACAGGGATATCCTGGACGAAAACCTTTTCCAGAGTGCTCTGGACCTCAGACTGGGCCGAAGGTTTACCTTCCAACAAGACAATGACCCTAAGCACACCGCTAAAATAACGAAGGAGTGGCTTCACAACAACTCCGTGGCTGTTCTTGAATGGCCCAGCCAGAGCCCTGACTTAAACCCAATTGAGCATCTCTGGAGAGACCTGAAAATGGCTGTCCACCAACGTTTACCATCCAACCTGACAGAACTGGAGAGGATCTGCAAGGAGGAATGGCAGAGGATACCCAAATCCAGATGTGAAAAACTTGTTGCATCTTTCCCAAAACGAATCATGGCTGTATTAGATCAAAAGGGTCTTTCTACTAAATACTGAGCAAAGGGTCTGATACTTATGACCATGTGATATTTCAGTTTTTCTTTTTTAATAAATTTGCAAAAATTTCTACATTTCTGTTTTTTTCTGTCAAGATGGGGTGCTGAGTGTACATTACTGAGAAATAAAATGAACTTTTTTGATTTTTGGAAAATGGCTGCAATGAAACAAAGAGTGAAAAATTTAAAGGGGTCTGAATACTTTCCGTACCCACTGTATAGTATATAACAAATAAAAACATGCAAGGCCACTGCTGAGAATGAATTCTGTAAATACAAGGAACATAGTGATTAAAAGTCGCATGTAATGTGGACATGTGTGACAGTAATTACAGCTGTGGAAAATCCCATATTTTGAAAGCAGGCCACAAAATGACACTTATGGTGGTTAGATTACTCCATGTTACCAAGTCAGGTGCCTAGTAGATAGCCTGTTCTTTTCAACTGAAACTGAAAACAAATCATAGCCATGTTGTCTCTAATTATTGAGTACAGCCTGTTTACATGTTTTTCATCAGTGATACAGAATAAAGCCATGAGAAACAATGAGCCTCAAGCAAGAACAGATTCATATTCTTATCCTAACTTTATCTTACTTGTTTTTCATATGGTGGGCTTGTACAATTATGCCTCGTCAGATTCATCAAAGGTTCCTAACTTCAGATAACTAAAATAATGAAAAGATATTCACCTTATTATACACAAAGACAAATTAGCCTAAAGTTGGTGGGTGGTGGTGATGGATAAGATGCCTGCCTTTGGTGTGAGAAACCCGGGTTCAATCCCCCACTGTGACCCATCCACCGTTGTGACACTTAACCCCTAGTTGCTCCAGAGGTGTGTGACCTCTGACATGTACAGCAATTGTAAGTCGCTTTGGATAAAAGCAGAAGCTAAATGAAATTAATAAAAGTTAGTGCTTAATTTAAGTTGTTTTGCAGTTTGAGATGTGCATGCTGATATTCTGGTGATATACAATAGCATCAATAGCCAATTTAAATGAATGATGATATTGTTAAAAAACTGCTTAAAGTAATGAAATACACAATCAATTAGTAAAAAATATGTTCATGCAAGTGGTTCTTGTATGAGGCCCAATATGTCTGTTTTTGAGTCATATAACGGATGTTTTTAAATTCTTAACTACCATGCATATTTTAATTTGTTTCAAGTGTTTTATCGCAATACAGATATTATTTGAAAAATATAGTTAAGTGTTTTGTGCTAGCCAGACCAGATGTTCACCTTGCTGCACATGTGTGACCAGGCTGGCTCCTGGAAGATTTGTTTGTCCTTGGTGGGATGAGGGGCTGTAGTAGAGGGCTGAAGGTGGACGGTGAAGGTGGGTCTGCCTATGCCCTTCTCCTAGCTGCTCATTCCCATCATCAACCTCCCCCTCTATGATGAGCCCATTAGGTACCCTAGACCTGCCACCCAGGGGGCCATTTACTTGACTTACCGAAGTGAGAAAGCAGATTTTTTTTCTTTTTTTTTTTTGTCCATCCATAATGGCCCAATCAGCCCCCTGAGGCATTACCAGGCTCTGCACTGACACTCCACACTGATTTAGTCAGCTTGCAAGAATACCAAAAGCACCATGGATTAACCATACCAAATCCCTTCCACATTTTCAAGATTGCTGGCTCAGGCAAGTCTAGTTACAAAAATTCAAAGGTGTACGACCAGGCGCCTTGCATGCGACGCAAGATTCATCATTTTGGAGCTTGCACCCTCGAGTCAGGGACACTATGTTGAAGTTAAACCTTGTTTTAGGAAAAATCATATTTTGAGTGTTTTGACATGACATGACTGATCCATTTGAGATGATCATTTAGGATAGAGCTGTTATTGTCCGCTCATAAAAGCTACAATAAATATTCTCACACTGTTGCCTATGCTACACAAAACAGTGCCAAAGCTACTTTAAAGACAACAGAGCCCATTTTTTGGCTCTTAGTAAATTCCTAGTTTGTTTGCATGCTGTTGATTTAGTAGATATACCTCTTTTGCTGGATATTTATCCTGTAAGCAGTTGGCATGAAAGAAAGCTGAGCTTCTAGGGCAACTTGGCTGATGTTTTTAAAACACTGTGCATGTGGCCAGGTTTCAAAGAGGTTCTTTCTTCATAATTTCTTTTCCACCCCCATAAGATGTAGGGAAAAGAAATGCTCATGGAATCTTCAGATATCAGGGAACTCTCAAAAATCTTCAAAAGAACTTCAAAAAGTGTGTTTGTAGAACAAATCTATGAATTTGTAAAAAAAAAAAGAAAAGAAAAAACGACACAATTTCATTGTGCATATAAAACAACTAATTGTGAAATTGGAGACTACATTGATCTCTTATAAATGGATTGGCTGACAAAATGTGACCAAATACAGGTAGACTATACACATATGCAATTTTACAGAACACCATCCCCTTGTAAAAATGGCCTATCCTGATACCATATCAGTATATCACAATATACATATACATATATACGTGTGTGTGTGTGTGTGTGTGTGGCTGAACAGTGGCATGTACTACAAAGGGAGTTTAATCTACTCAGATTGAACTCCGTGTTATCAAGGAAAATCAGGGTTAACAAACTCTGACTGCTTAGTTGGTGCACCTTCGCATAAAAGGGGGCATATTCTGCTCTGCAAGGCAGAGTTTTTTCATAACAACGCATGCTCCGTACTTTCCCTAGAAGAATGCCTGATGATAGTGTCAGGATGTGAGGAGAGTAAAAACACATTAACGGCTAAATCTAACACTGTGGCCGCGAACGACGCCAGTGAGGCTTATTGGCAGTGGCAGAGAGTAAATTTGTAATTATCTTCACAGTGTTCTTGTTTGTAATTATCTATTTAGTATTTTATGGACTCTCCTTTTATGTGTAATGTGATTAAGATGTAAAGGTACAACTTCACATAAGGTCCATTGTAATAAAAATAAAAATTGGAGCCAGCGGAGAGGGGTAACAATCCCAAGATTAATCAAGTAAAAAAACTTTTCTCTTACTTTATAGTCATGGCTTTATGAGAGAAACTTCACTTTGCAAGGCTGCAACATCACACACACACACACACACACACACACACACACACACACACACACACACACACCTCTGCCGTGCATTATGCATGCAGTGGAAAGTCATATTAGACTTCGCAATCAGATTTAGCAATGAGGAAATACTTGTGAGTTTAACCCACAATCTTCTTTAGAGACTTTGAATTGGGCCTATTCAGAAAAAATCGCCAGAGTGATTTGGATTTTTTGTGACTTTAATTTCAGTGAATTTCCGATTTAAGGAATTTTCTTCTCAGTTTATAAACCTCCAGCCTGGCTCTGTATTTTTTGGAGACGTCAAATTAAATATGTGAACACACTTACGATAATTTATTCATCTCAGAAACTGGCCCATTATTTAATTAAGATCTCCTTAAAATCATCAGGGCTGCAGGGCTCCCTGTATGAAAGTAATGCTGTTGTGTTAAGAATAATTTCATTTCAAGCTGCAACCCCAGTGTCAGGATGAAATATAAAGATATTGTATTAAGTGGTATGTATTAATAGCCTACTTCTCATTATTAACACTGGATACAGATGTGGTGTGTCGCATACTTATACACCTCGAGTTATCCACGAATATAACCTGCTCGGAGCAGTTTAGAGATGCAGCATAAATTGCCATGGCAACAGACCTCTGGTGACACCTATGCACCTTTCAAAGTACAGGTTATTCGGGAAGTTACACCAGTTCATGTTTCAGACAGTTTCACAGCATGGTGTTCATCTGTGTTGTGTGTGGCGGTTACCTTGCAGAGGAAGCTGATGTTGAAACCAAACGACTGGGCATTCCTTGAGCCAGCATTCATGTAATTGCCAATCAGCAACACCAGCTCCAGGAGTTTGCAAAAACCTTCACTCTTCTTCACCTCTTCACAGGCAAATGTCACATTCATGATGTCTGGCCGGATGTTATTCACCTGCTCCTCAAACGTCAGCTTGAACAGAATGCCATTCAGGCGTGGTCGTAGGAGTTTTACTGAACTCATCTAAGGGTATAAAAAAAACTTTGGATACCAACAAATAAACATGGCCTAAAAGTAATTAGTTACATATTATGTGTATGTTCAGGGTAAATGAACACAGGTTCAGCTTATTCAAATTCACATTTTCTGCTTTCCACCTTTGTGGCTTCAACTCCCTTGCACTAAATTGGTGAACTTGCTTTAGTCAGCTCTCTTGGAAATCAATACTGAGAGCAATCCAAAATGAACACATACAACCACTGGTAGCCATTTTCAAAATAAACACGCACATTTGTCACATAATTGTGACAGTGACACTAACTGAACTTAATGATACAAGTTAAACACATTACTATGCATTAATATGTATCAGTCTATTATTTGTGTGATCAACCCTTAAAAATATATGTATTAAGTAAAGAACATCAGTTGATTATAAGCAAGTTGTGAATCACTTGACAGGAAAACTACAGTTGCAGGCCAGTGCACGATAGTCAAATAGTGTACACATATTTATGAACAAATGGCACAAAAAGCTTTATGTGATTAATATGGTTCTCAACCATGAATTCTGCTCCTCATTTTAGAATAATGAGTTCCTACTATAACTTTTAATAACTTGATAAAACAAGGGCATAAAAGAAATTCTATTAAGCTATACTGCCTTGCCATCATCGCCATGTTGAATCTCAAGTGTAATTACTGCTGCGACTAGTCTTAATGAACTGAAAATCAACCACCCTCTTTAGCAAATGGGAATAACCTCTTTCCTGCCTCCTGACTTTCATATGGATAAAGGAATCTCCCATTAAACAGATTTGTCATAAATAATAAAACAGCCTCAATCAATGCTTGTGGTCTTGGGAGTGGAATCATTGAAGCCAGAGAAAATAGGAGGGAATTAAAACAAATAGAGTTTTGGCTGTAAGATATGTGGCAAAGCAGCAACCACAAACAAATTCTACAGATTGCTGCATAATCCACTGCTTGGAGGCAACCTTCAGATCCAGCCAATAATATTTCATTACTACTCAAATGTAATTGTGCGTATGGGCAAGTTGTCTGTCAACCCCCCTCCATCCCACACACCCGAACAATCCCACCCACCTCGCTTCCTTGCATGCATGGGCATGTGCGCCACTTGAATTGATTTGTATTCAATAAGGACAAATCACAATGAAAGAGAGCATGTTGGTGACAGTTGTGGCAGACACAAACTTGAACATGGCTTATTTCCTATGGGAACTAAATAGCTCTGCATTGAGTAGCTGCTTCATCATTGGGGAGGTATATGATCACAAAATCAGTGACATCACGAGGGAAACTGGCACCCTGTGCTTCATTACATCTCCTAAAAGACATAGGCAAAAAAACCTTCAACAAATAAAAAGAACAGCTAGGCAGCTAGAGCACATCTGCAACCCTTGGGTCTAATTGAACACTTAGTAATGTACCTCTATGATTTTGCTGTAAAGTAAGGTTTAAAGATAACACTTCCTTTTACAGTTTCCTTAAGTGCTGGGTATTCACTTGGTAAATGGATGGCAAGAGCAGTTAATTAAAAGGTAATCACAGCTGTAACTATGTGGAAAGGTCAGAACAGCTTGATGATGTAATCTCCTTCTTCTACAATTGATTTACAGTACAACTATGCCTTGCCATACTATTCCTGGAACTATTCCTGTCCGGTGAAAATCCAGTATCTTTTGATGACTGAAAAAAAGACAATTGAAGTGTTCTTTGCTAGAGTCAAAAGTGCTTAAAAAAAAAAAAATAGAAACCTAGCCCCGGTCATTCGGAAGTTGGGTTACCATGCTGATTTCTTTTTTATTAAACATGCCCTTTATATTATTAGATGTTTTAATTAAACATTAGTGCAACTCTTGGGATGCATTCTTCTAAATTATACTTAGCACTGCTTAATTTCCTGGCCCCTTGCTAAACTGCTGTCAAAATCCAGCAGTCCCCCACAAAAGATTGTGTATACAATAATGCTGGAGGAAGACAGACAAAAGTGTAAAAGTGCAGTGCATGTGTGTGAGTCTATATGAGGTATAGAGAGACAGAAAGCGTGAGCAAAATTGAATTTCTCAACTGTGCATGCTTGTACGTGTTTGACTATAGCAGACTGGGAGAATGATTGTGCATACTGTGTGTTTCTCTTGGGGCGATCCAGTAGTCACCAGGAAATTATACTCACCACAATGCCAAACTGCTCTGACTCCACTAGCTCTTCATATTCACCCTTTAGTTCCGCCAGCGCATTCAGCTCTTTCTGCTCTGGTAGGTTCTTTATCAGGTTCTACAAACGGGAGAGCAAACATAAACAAACACACACACATAAATGTACGCACAAACACAGAGAGAGAAAACTACTGTTAATGCAAATCTCATTTTCTGTCCAAGTCAGGATAAAAACCACGTCACACACAAGATTGGCAGGCTACCATACACAGTAGGAAGAAAAAAAAAGAGTCCCTACAAGCAAGGCTGCTGAGTGTATTCAACTTATCTGGTTGGCTTAGAGTTAGGGAAAACTAAATAACTACAGTTCATTGAGATCAGACAGTACAAGCATTAAACTAGTATGTGCCTGTGGAAGAACCGTGGAAGAACAGGTACTTGCATGTAAGGTATGTCATACATTTGTATATTAATACAGATTATATGGGATATGTCCTTAGGGTTCTACCAGAAAACATTTTTTCATCTTATATATGTATCTTTGTTACAACAGATTTCATTCAGAATGCATAGTGGTTTGCTGATTATCTGGTAGGAGGATAAGTAGATAAGGTCACATAATTACTGCTCACATTGGCTTTTTATTGTGACAGTGGTGACCCTTAGCCAATTACCAAACATGCCAGGGACCTTCAGATAACTGACCTTCTACTGCGTAATCCACATCTCCTTGCAATTGAAAAAAATGCATGCAACAAGTTTGTCATTAATTTACTACTTTTCTGTTGAATTTCCCTTGCAGGAGCAGATGATGCTGCTAGTGGTGAGGTTGAAGATTAAGATGGAGATGAGGAAGATAATGGGAGGGGCTGTGTTTTCTGTAAATGTTAATTGTTTGTGTGAAGGTCAGCCAAGTTAATAAAATTGACCACAGCGACTTTCACTCTTTTTCTGAGAGGAGGAGGAGAAGAAGAGGTGCCCTTTCCCAGGTCTTCACAAAGCTTCCTTCCTCATTAGCTCCCTAAATGTATTCAGCGATAGCAGACTGGCACAGGGTCACGTGGCCAGATGGGAGCCCAGACGGGGAAAACAGAGAGTAGACACTGCTACTGGGCCACAGGCCTGGCTGACCACTCAATAGACCTCTGCAGCTATCGCAGGCACCGCTGCCAGAGTCTACTGCCCACTAATGATGACATCTCTGTCCTGCCCTCAGGGAATTCAGCAATATAAAAAGTAAGCCATAACGCAGGCCTGGCATTCCTGTTTGGGAGGTAGCCATTATATCAAATGTTGCTTGCTTTTTGCTGAAGCTCCAATTAGGGTCTGCAGCAAGCAATGGTACCATGATAATGAGGGCTTTTGATCATATCAGCAGAAGCAAAAGCAAAGATTGTTGATTATATAGAAAAATAAAACACATGTTTGTGTAATTGGATTTGTATGGATGGATTTACATTGTTAAGTTAAATGATGACTGGGCACATGGTTTTCCTTTTTTGTCCCTTTTTGGTTCAAAACAATGGATATACTGTATCCAACTCAAAGCTAATGTTGCTAATTATTCACTCTTGACCTTTCATAAGGAAACTCCTCTTGATGTTGTTTCATAAACCTGGTGACCTTTTTCATGAAGAAGTGGCCAAAACATCATCGCAGGTTCTGGGTTTTAAGGTATGTTAACTATTAACTGAAAATGATTGACGTTAACAGACTTGATAATAATTATTTCTATGCAGTCAATAAGTCTTAAAATGCGTATTAACTAAATATAAATGTCTCAGTAAAATATAAAGATTGATCCTATCCAGAGTAATGTGCGTGCAAATATAATAATAAAACTCCAAGTGAAAAAAAACCTACCAGTCTACCATCACAACACAGTATATCAAATTCTTCTCTTGAACTCTAAGGGACATTAGTAGCTGGATTAGTAATACAGTTCTCCTTGACAATGTATCTTTGGTCCTGATGGAATGGCATCAACACAGCAGCAAACCTAATTTCTAATACTGAGGTAAATCCGATTATTTAGCATGTTTTTCTCTGACATTGCTTCCTGAGCAAAGAAGAATAATTATTGGTATGTTTTCACCCTTGAACAATTTACAGCAGCTTTCAAATTGAGTTGAGTCTGGTTTGGCATAGTTTAGACATCAAGGAAAAGTTTCCTTAGCAGAGTTTTCGCTGGTGAATGTATTTCATCCAATTTCTAATATTGATTCTTTCCTTCTTCAGTAAAGCTGTGCTTTTAATACTGTCAGTTACTTAAGCATGCAGAAATCCATGGTGACATATAAAAACATAAATACAAACAGAACTAAAACAATTCATTAGATGTGCCGTTTCCAAAGTGGAGGACTTTGTTATTAAATTAGGAGTGGGTTTAATGTTTTGAAAGAGGTGAAATCGTTCAAGATGCCACAGTCGAATACATCTGAAAAATACAGACAGAAGACTAGGTAATAGAAAGTAGATACCACCTTGTACTTGTCATTTCATATGTCTGTCATCTTGTTAATTATTAGAAACCCCATAGAGCACAATTGACACAAAGGCTGCACCATATGTGTGGCAATGTGGGAGACTGGGCGATGATGCTAGGCCAGACTCCTCACCGCAGGCCACCAGACACACACAGCAGTCTAGGAGAGATTACTGGAAGTATTCTAACAACACTACACATTCATTTACCGCCTTGGGCGAAGATGAAGGCACTACATATCAGCACACTTGCCAAGATACAGCAATCCACCAACAAAACATCAACAGCAAAATGTGGTTCTTCAGGTTAAAAATTCATAAATCCCGCTATGTATTTCCTTGTCAAAAATAAAATTTGTGTGTCTGACAAAATTATGGAAAGGATCCCTATAGAAATAGACTTTTTTTTTAAGGAGTAAGATATTTTGTGTTAAGCAGAAACAGTAGCTACATCACTTTCGTCAAAGCCACCAGACTCCTTGACAAAAGATTTTACCTCGCACAACACGGGAGTTGCTGGTCTACCACTGCCTTGGTGGATTAGTTTGTGTTATTGAGTGAATTTGGTGTTTTAAAGGGTTAAAAACACCAACGTCACACAATTACACAAAAAAACTGGAGGTAAAATTATGGTTTTGTCTAGGGAGTCTGGTATGATATAGCGACTGCTTCTTGTTAAACAAAAAAGAATATTACTTTTTAACTGGGTATGTCTCTATAGAAATCCTTTCCATAATCTTGTCAGACACTTGTATTAACAATATGAGCCTATTAATGGCAAAACACGCACTTTAGTGGAAATATTTTTACTGTGCACCATTTCCCGCAAGGACTACATTAGGACTACTGTTCAATGCTGCCGACTGAAGCACACTCACTCATTAGTGGACTGATTCCCTAAGAATAATTGTCACAATAAATCACAGACAACAAAAACATGGAAATATAGGGTCCAGGTTGAAAAATACCTAAGTTACCCTTAAATGTGTCAACAGAAATTGTACATTGACTGCACCCCCGTCAAAATACAAGTCAAAATGTGCAACCAGTGTACATGGATTCATTTTCAGTGCTTTTCCAATAGGTAGTTTTATTTTCCTGTTTCCTCAGAAATGCTCTCTGGGTCTGTGCATTCCAGTTGCCCCAAAAACAATTGTAATGGCCTTCATTTCTAGATATATTATTTGTCTGCTGACTGTCACAGTTCAAGTACTGTATATTTTTATGCATATCTTTATCTGACGCTCAAAAACTGCCATTTATAAATTCTGGTTGTGATCATTAAAATATCCATTACGTTTCAACTGTCAGTCAACCATGTGCCGAATTTGATAAATCAGAATTACCAGAGACAAGTGCAATAACACATGCACTAGCACAATTTATTTCCATCAGTGCAAAAACATGTGAATATACAATCCATGCCTGTCTGTCAAAATGTGTTAAATTTTAATTCAAAGAATAACCATAACATCAATGTGCAGAAAATTGTTTTTTGTTGTTATCCTATTCTGAAACAGATTAGGATATCATTGCATGTGATACTCAATCATTTATTATAGATTTAAAGGTACAGGTCAACTCAAGGACTCAGAGAGAACCTCTCACTGTTGTTATACACTCTGCTGTTTCCCAGTGTTTATATACACAGAATACAATATAAATAATCAATCCATCGTCAACCGCTTATCCTGCGTACAGGGTCGCGGGGGGCTGGAGCCTATCCCAGCTGACATCAGGCGAAAGGCGGGGTACACCCTGGACAGGTCGCCAGTCCATTGCAGGGCCACACATAGACAAACAACCACTCACACTCACATCCACACCTAAGGACAATTTTAGAGACACCAATTAACCTAGCCTGCATGTCTTTGGATGGTGGGAGGAAGCCGGAGCACCCAGAGAGAACCCACGCGGACACGGGGAGAACGTCTTGGGTTACGTATGTAACCCTGGTTCCCCGAGAAGGGGAACGAGACACTGCGTCAGTTACGACACTATGGGAACGCCTCTAGGCGAAGCAGGTCTGAACGTGAATGAAATCACTCCAATCCTATTGGCTTGTTGCTAGAACGGTAAGGTGTGACGGAATAACCGGAGGAGTATAAAGCACACCTGTACACACTCATCATTAGCTTAAACTATGAAGCAGGCGCTTCAGGCGGGGAGAGAGGTGCGGCGGGCCGACGCAGTGTCTCGTTCCCCTTCTCGGGGAACCAGGGTTACATACGTAACCCGAGACGTTCCCCTTCGAGGGAACTCGAACTGCGTTGGTTACGACACTATGGGAACGAGATACCCACTAAACCGTGCCGAAAACCCCGCCTGCCCCAGTGTGCAGTAAAGTGGCACGACTAAGAGGAGAGCACACGAGTGCCAGGTGCCGAAGGAAGGTCAAGACTGTAAAACCGAATGAATGTGTGCGGAGTGGCCCAGCCAGCCGCTAAACAAACATCCTGCAAAGAGGCCCCGGAAAGGAGGGCTCGAGAGGCCGCCATGCCTCTGGTAGAATGAGCCCTCACAGCCACAGGTGAAGGCAAACCGCACACCTGATAGGCCAGGGAAATAGTCTGAACAATCCAGTTGCTAATAGTATGTTTGGATGCAGGGAGCCCGGCCCTGGGAGACCCAAAA